CCAATACTGGACACATGATTGGCAGCACCTAGGCATGCCAGAAGCTCAAAACAAGTGTCAACAGCACAATAAGCTGTTTGGCAGAGAAGATAAGGCAAATATTTTATGTGTGCAACGCACTCAGCTCTACTGAAGTTTCCAGATGAGTGGGTTAATACAGCAACAGTGACGAGAGACAGGAAGGAAGGTGCTCGGTTTCATCTGGACAAAGAAAATCTGATAAAAGGTGGTGGAAAAGTGAAAGTGCAGGAGGCTATCTGAGGTCAGCCATGAAGAGAGACTACAGGAACATAAGGTGTACATATAAAACTTTTTCGTTTGTTTGTTGTGCTGATCTTGTGTTAAGAGACCCATCAGTTGTATTCACTCAATGAGAAATGCTGCAGAAATTTTCCACTAGGCCTTGGTTAATTTACCTCAGGTTTATCTGCAAACAAACCCTCATATAAAGTTTGATTTTTTTATTCATCTGTGGCCAGATTCATAAAAATATAAATAAAATGTGAATACAGGTTTTTTCAATTTATTTATTTTTGGCACAAATCATGGTGCGTTTTCTTTCTTGGTGTTGATGAACGTCATCCTGCTGAATTAAACAAAGATCAAAAAGATTTATTGTTGGTATAAAACAAAATGTTCCTGCCTTGTTAATGATCTAATGCTGTTAGAATAAACGAGTCACACAACGAATCACTGACTAACTCATTTTTCACTCTTTGGCTGATATGAATCAGATCATTAAAAGATTCTGAAGTCAGCCCAGATGATGAGTCATTTTGTTGGAGCAACTTCTGATTTTCTGTCAGTGGTCATTTCTGCAATTGAGAATATTTATTATAATCATTTTCATCATTTGACCCTTTGTTAAGCCTTGATCACAATATGAACGTCATATGTGATGTAACTGCTTACTTTAGCTTTATTATAACGATGTTTTTCCACATGTGCAGGTTTTTGTGTGTCTATTAGCAAAAATAACTCATAAACCACTGAACTAATTATAATGAAACTTGCAAAATATAAATATTGGACATATATCTATGTTGATAAACTTTTTTGAGTAGACTCGATAAAAGATGGCTGCCACAGAAAACTGGTCTTACAAGCACACAAAAAGGGAACAACCCAGTTAGTTTTTACAGATGTGTTATAATTTGGTTTGGTAGCAGATGAGACTGATTTCAGATTATATTCTGAGTAATGAAAAAATGCACAAGAGTTTTGGTTAAAATGTTTCCATTAATTATTTAGGATTAACTCTCCCCAAGTGGGTCCCTGCAGTAGGGGGGGTTTCTTGGCCGGGGCAGAGATTGTCATATTGGCGGGTTTATTTTTTTGTCTGGGTGGAGTTTGGCGAAATGGGGGAGGTTCTTGAGAGTGGGCGGGGTTTGGTGAAATGGGGGCGGGACTTAGGTGGGTGTGGAGTTTAGCAAAACCGCGATTGGTCAGACTGATGTTAAAAGAAGTTAAAAGATAGTAGTGGTGATAGCAAAATTATTTTGAACATATTGTGAATTTATTAAATTCAAATTTGGTGTGATATCATCCTGTCTCATTTTATGACTAAAATAGATATTTGTATTCATATTTAACAATAATTTTCCAGGTGAGTTGGGGCTGCTTTGATTGAGTTTGACCAACAAATTGCACCTTCCTTTCTCACACTATGACTAAAATTAATTCAAATTCAAATCAATTCAAAAATACTTTATTGATCCCAGAGGGAAATTAGGTAATATTTATAATATGATATGATAT